CCGATGCTAAATTACTCTCTCTCTCTCTTTTGTAAGTATTGTATGCGACAGCACGTCGAGAACTCACACGAAAACCTCCTTAAAAAAGAAGTGAGGTAAGAGCACAGTACTAAATACAGAAACAACTTTGAAGCTAAACAATTTTCTTTTTAAATTAAGTATCTAGTTAAATGCATAAGCAAATGTACAATTTATATAAAACACAAAAAGCTTGAAAAAATAACAAGTGTTTCGGACATAGATGGCGCTGTGACAGCAACATAACCTACGTATTGAAAATAATGTACAAGAGAAGCAGGCATTTATTTGAGTACATTCTTATTCTTTTTAAATAACCTGAAAAAAAATTGTTGTCCATACATTAGATGCGTATTACAAAAATATAAACATGTAAATCCGGATTCCAAATCACAGCAACAAATGCGCTTTTACACTATTTATACACTATTTTTGTTCAAGTATTCAATTTAAACAGCACAGAACATGATGTAAATTCAGAATTCAGGCTGTTACCATAACCTCCTTGAATATGACCCAGAATAATGATGTCTGGATATTTTGAATAAATAAATTCATGAATATTATATTATATTTAAGACCATAAATATGCTACATCGAGGAAAGTTGGGGTCCATCATTTCTACCGTGTACCCTGTGTGTTCCTGCTGCGGTATTATGAGACAAGTGACACAGGCTTCAATTATCATTCTGTGAGACTTGTATGAACTGCTCTGCGATCTCATGCTTTCAGTGGTGCCCTTCAGAATAACAGCGCTCCTCAAGCAAGACTTCTGTATATCTTCGTTGTTGTGTTGCAGAATCTATTGACTGTCATTCATTTCTACATCCAATGCACACTTCCAAAGGCAATCCCCTAATTTAGTGAGTTTATTCATTGTATTTTTTTCTTTGCTTTAATTCTTGTAATAATTTTAGAGGTATTAAGGCCAGGAGCTTTAACTCGATATGTTGGTGTATGCATATTTCATTTCTCAGTACTATTGTCTTGTCTACCCCATTCTAGCAGTGAAAGAACCCCGTGTCCAATGTGAGTCCTTTGGGTGGCCCTCACAATAGCAATAAGCAGGCCTTGCACTGTGACATCCATTGCCCAATTAAATAAACACCTAGGTGGAAATGTTTCGTGCTGTTATACCTAACATTAGCGAATGGCGAGAGTATATTTGTGATTTTAATTCTAGCTTCTGCTTAATAAATATTTCTGATCCAAATTTTAAAAATATCACTTTGCATTCATGTATATTTTGTTCAATCTACTGTGACTAGATTTTTTAACCAAGAACTATATATGAAATATAATAATTTTATTATTAGTCGGTATTTGTTCAATGTTTGCTTAGAGATGAGTTCAGCCATACTTACCAGCCATACTTATATCACCGGCAAAATATTAACCTTTGTGATTCAAAGGAGTGCCAATCACCATGTCTGTTACGGAAAAATAAACCTGATGGTGCACTGCTGTATCATCCAAATTTCTGAGTGGGTAATTTAATAGGTACTACCAATACGGTTGTGATCACAACTCGATGAAGAGGTACGCAACTGTATACACATAGGACTCAACTTGGAAAACTTAGTGGACACTATATACTTACCAAGTTGTACAGTATTTTAAGCGATCACAGCCTGAACTCAAAAGAAAGTTTTGTCAAGCTCACATATAAAACACACGCCCGTGACTTCAAATATATTTATCAACGGCGTGTCATTTTATGTTTAACATCCAACAAGTAACACTTTTCTCAAATTCAATGAATTACCCAAAAGCAAGAGTTCTCTTCAGAGCTTTTGAATGAATGCTAACTAATTGCTAACATTGTACCTAATATGGCAAATTTCATTTATAAGATATTTTATTTTTAATTTGAAGGATTTCCCACGCGTGACAAATCGACTAATTTATTTAAGAATACACGTGTAAATAAGTTAACAAGAATAATAGATAATATACATTCAGAACGTACAAGACGGCCTTCACAGAACGCCGGGAATCAAACCTAAATTACTTTCTGTTTAGTAAGTGAGCATAGTTAATTAGTTAATCTAAATTTACACATCCTTATATAGACACAGAAACAGATTAAGGCGCTTATGCGTGAAAACGAGAAAATATCATAAAGAAAAACGTAGTCTGTATGTTGTTACTGGGACGATATCTAGTTACACAGTCCGTAATGTTGATTAAATTATCCTATGTAGATAGAAATATACACGCTGACATAAAGCCTGTGAACATTTTCACAACAAAAAGGTCATACATCTACAACTGATTAGAAACTATTTCGGAAATTATTGAACTATCAGTAAAGTAATTACACTTTATCAGGGTATTATAAAGTCAAATTGTATAAGTATGTATCGCTTTCACTTAAGAAGATTGTACGTCACACGAACAATCTTACATTGAATGTTATCGCCGTTGATTAAATGACATTACATTTTCTTGAATGCGAATAGGTCAACTGATAGAAATTCTATATTCAGTGTAGAGGTTTAACTTGCTATACGCTTATACTATTTTCGTGACTCATTGCAGTTTTTTTTGCTTCATGTATAAAGTGTATCTTTATGTGAAATGTATCTTTAGTATTAACAAAAAATCAGAATGTTTTACTGGTATTCAGTGTCACGTGATATTTTGTGAACGAATGTTGTAAGTGTCAGTGATGACAATGAACATTTATTGAATACGTCGTACTGCTTAACCAGCATAGTTATTATTATTCATCTAAACATATGTGTTAATATCCTGCCATAGTCAACATGTGTAAATCATAGATCGATCATCTTTCAAAAAACAGGTTTGAATTTAAACCGGAGAAAGCACGTGCACGCTGAAATATCCGACGTATTTAGATACATTTAGTTTTGACACTAATAAATTGGCTGTTATTTTCACTCATTTGCAGTAGTGACAATGACGACCGTCAACGAATTAGTCATAATCATGCCTCTTTAACTTCTTGTCTACCTAATCCATCTTTCTCACGCTATATTAGCAAGAGCAACCCGGCACTCAGGGGAAATTACTTCTTCCTTTTTTTTCTCCTCCCAACTAACCGCAAATGCTCACTAATACTCGCACGATCTTAGATTTCAACATACCTGTCAATGTCGCTCCAATGCCCAGGTAATGCTCGGGGGCTTTTAACTCTCAACTTTATATATGTAATGTAATGTAAGCTGGCAGCTTATTTATCTCTACAAATGCATTGCTGTGAGTGGATGATAGAACGTTTGAAGTTATGCGTTCTAGTAAATTAAAGTCGTTCAATAAATTCATTAGCACAAGTTTATAGTGAGTATAACAACTGCTGAAAACGTATATATTTTGGTAACCTAATTGGACAAGTCTTTTATAAAAGTAAATTAGGACGCTTTTATTTGGGAAAATATCGACGGCTCTTGTGTATTGACTGTAGAATTGTACGTTGAATTGGTAAATAATATGGGTTACTAATGTGATCTGTATTTTTTTGATACCGAAAAAACATCAAGTTGCACAACATCCAGATGTTGATTACATTTCCCTATGTAGATATATGCATATTTTCCCCGGGATTTAGCATGGCAACATTTCCACATCAATCAGGTTAGAAACATTTCATGCAATTATATAACTCTCGGTAAAGTAATTACACTTTTGAGAGTGGTTTTACCTTTTCAGGGTAAAGCGGTTTTCGAATTGTATGATTACAAATCCCTTTTACTTACGAATATAATAAATCAACTACAAAACACACTACTTACGTTCAATTGCGTCGCTTTTGATTAAATGACAGTCTCAATTACCTTGAATGTGAGGTAGGTTAACTGATATAGATTTCAGTGTCAGTTTTCTGATATAATTTGGTTTGCATTTATTCCAATATACCAATAAAGCATGTGCTGATACCCAATGTCTTTTTCAGTTCTAAAACATTTTGGAATGGATGAATAAGCACACGTGATTGAGCTTTTAACTTTCGAAATGCGTTTAGTGTTTTCATAATATTTGATTGTGCTGTTATCTGATGTTTCACCGTCTCTTCTGGCGTTTCACTGCGGCTTTCACAGAACCTATATAAATACTTAAGACAGTGGTGCGCGTCTTAGCGATAGATAACGTTCTGTAACGTGGTTCCACCCTGCGAATGAGCCCAGAAAGCAATGGCCGACGTTGTGTTCCAGATAGCTCAGTGGGCAGGATGTCTTTCATACCATTGTTATATGGGCTCGGAGTTGAAACACAACCATTGTGGTAGGAAAGTAAAAGTTGCTCATTGTTCTATCATTGCTGCTGCGTCCTAGACATTCCTGGGACAACGTTATAGAAACAAAGACATTTGATTTGAAACAATTGGCAATATAGCACCGTGACTCCATGTAGAGTGTGACTATTCATTTCAGATAACTGACATACGTATGCTTTATTAGTTAAATGAAGAAAACACATTTACCACTTTCATCTTATAGTAGTAGATATTCAAGAGGTTTGTAATTAATCATAAAAACATGCTTCGTTTCTGTATATGTCATTGTCAATTATTGTCTACATAATAACGTTCATATTGAAGTACGGAAATGTTTCTAATAAACACTATTGATGCCTTTCACTTAGATATTTACGATAACATGCAATTATATTATATTATACAGAATTAAATATATTATTCAAAATTAACAATACAATGTAATTGAATCTCTAATATACGTACTACATAATTTACATTATACAGTGACTGAACTTTGTTTAAATTAATATAAATTAATTTGTGTCTAACTATCACGTGTTAAATTCTGTGTGTGTACAGCTGTAGTTTCGACTCTCAAAATCGTTTCTCATTCGTATATCTGATCCTAATTCACAAAGTGAATATCTGGTATAGAATGTATCAAAATAATCCTAACGCTACATCGAATAACATTTAATAAATGTCAAGTCCCCGATTTACAAAAGTACACATATTAAATATTTACAATATATTAAACACATGCTACATCTATGGGAAAAATAGGAAACATCTAATAACTACATACATTGTCAATGTGACATATACATACATAATATATTGTAATCACTGAAATTGTCATTGTAAGCCCAATCACAGCCCACTGTTTTAGTCACCTTTCTTATGGTCAGGGTAATTAGACTTGAATCACGCAATTTCATGTATACGTGCGTATTACATAAATGTATTTACAAGCGGTGAGTTGGGGTGAATGAGGTATGCGTTGCAATGTGCTGGGTATGTGGTTGATACCATGAACGAAATCCCGCTTGCTACGCTATATCCTTGTCGTCCTCGTACTCACCCTCGGACGAATTGTGAACGTACTCTGTGCTGTGTTCATTGTCATAATATTAGCCCCATTAACGAATCGTTTAAAGCCAGGTATATAAGCAATTAAAATCATCGTCTCTTTTCGATAAGTCTCATTCATCAGAAAGTACACAATCGTATTCAATATACAGTTGGACATGGCAATGACTTCCACTATGTAGAAAAGCGTCATGTTGTTCTTTTTGAAAAATAGAACGTCTTGGTAAAAATTGATAGTGACGTTGTAAGCGTGGTAAGGACCCCAGCAAATTCCAAATGAGATCACCACCGTTATCAGCATTCGAATGGTCTTCTTCTTATTGTTATTAAATCTGAAATCACGCTGTTGCTGTCGCGTTCGCAGAGCAACACTTTCGCCAGGAGCATGGCGGAACCACACTTTACGCACGATGCTCACGTATGCCATGGTCATGATTGTCATCGGAATAAGGTACTCGAAAACACAGAGAAACACAATATATGCCTGCGCCGAGTGTAAATGTTCCCAAAACTCGCCACAGTACTGTAATAGGTTGCCGTTTATGTCAAATCCAGATGATACCACTGTATATAACGGGGTTGGTAGAGACACCAATAACGAGACCACCCATATAGAAACTATGATGATAACAACAGCACACTTCTGCAGTCTCGGGGTTAGTGGGTGGTAAATGACGTAATATCTGAATGAAAAAAAAATAGTTAGAATTCAGTTAGAAATATGTAAAACTAATAATAACCAATAAACAAAAATATTTCATAAGAACATACTACATATGAAGCGAAATGTTACAATAGACAATGAATATCTATATGATACATGGAGTATATGAGTTGTTGGAAGAAATCTAGTAGTTAATCTGACGTACGGCGTATCTCGAATATTTGTCGTTGATATATTTTATTATTTCTAGTACTAGAATTCTGAATTCTGAATTGTTTGTACGTAAAGCGCATTTCAGCAGTAACTACAACAAAAACCATTCACATTCACTTGAAAAAATAAATTTCATTAGAACAGTCTTCACAACTTGGTATTCTTATTTATAATCATATTTGTAAATATTCTTATGTAGTACTGTGTTTACGTCCCCAACTCGCGTGTGGAATTATATTATTTACCCTTAACTTCCAATGTACTCCTTCAATCGTTTTTGACCGACTTCTAGAAGCTATAGGTCCTTGTACATAATCGTTATTATTATATCATTCAAACGCTAATCATACAAATTCCATTGGACGTGTAGCTGGATAGTTTAACTATGTTAGCTTAGATACAATCCAAATTACAGCGAAAATCAGTGAATTAGACAATTGGTCAATGACACCGTTTGTATTCTTTAAATAAATGAGCCATTATAAAGTCAGTAACAGAGTAATGGACTATTGTAAACAAGGTTGACGTTGATGAGCTCTCAAGGCCGGTGTTGACACGCGCCATCAGTTTAATAATTGACTTTTGTACACCAGGGTGTTCCATCGGTAAGCTTGTAATAAACGTTTCAGTAAATTACCAAAACCACATAACGTTGCACGCTGATCCTGTCGAGTAGAATCAATTTCCGCTGTATTGATATATTATTACCATTATAACTTTTATTGCATTGTCACAGTGATATATGGTACTGTCTATAGTATGACTCATTGCATTTAATGAATCTCGTATCGGTTGAGGAAATCACCAAAAACACAAGACGTTGCACGTTGATCGTGTTGAGTGGAATCAATTTCCGCTGTATTGATACATTATTACCATTATAAAGTGTATTGCATTGTCACATTGATATATGGTACGACTCATTTTATTAAATGAATCTCGTATCGGTTGAGGAAAGTGAAGATGATATACCAAACTGTAGTTCTTAGTTTACACGACGGCAAACAATTGACAGGTAGGGGAAAAATATATGGATCCAATAGTATACATGTTTCGAAAGAAGTAAACACACTCTGTTGCACACGTGGCACCAATATATCATTCTGAATCATAATTAATTGATTTCTAGAAAGAATCTGCTGTCTACATCATACGAACTACATTGATGCCAACCAAGATAATTTTTGAAACTATTGTTGTATTATTGTAATAAAAGACATTCTAACATACTGATGATTTCATCTTCAGTGTACAAAATGCACCTGTCTTTTTCTAACGTTGTATTGTAAAGATTAGTACTGTTCATATGAAAGGCTTGATGGATAATTTTCCACATACATGATTTTAATTTATCATGTTGGATATATAAAGTGGATAATTCAAACGTGTTACTATTGTCCCACGTCTTCAAATTTTTACCTTTTATTGAATGATATCATAATGTGAAGTTAAGTTCGCATTATATGTATCACTGCGATTATAGACACGTTGCAGTTGATCGATGTCGTAATTCGATACGGTAATCATGAAATCTGTTGCGCGTGCTTGATTTCTGTTAGCGATTTATTTTCTTTAGACTTCTCCCCAGTGTTTGCTCAATTTCAACTTGTTGTAGAGTACAACATGCTACAAAACGTAAGTCAGAAACTCAAACTCGGCGTATGTTTGTTAATGTTGAGGTGAACATGCTTTATATGGCTTACTTAGTTGATTTTGTCACGACTATCTCGGTTATTGTTTTATAAACTGCATACAGGAGTGATCTTGTTTTTAATTTGTTCAATATCCATGTTTGATTTATAGCACTTCTGTGATTGTAGACAAAATAGAATTACATTACAATGCAAAATGAACATTTAAGTGATCCAGCAATGAATTCTAGCTTTGTATGGTGTTTTATGAAGTATGGATATCCAGTGCAACCTGAGCAAGTCATCAATGTCAACACTAAGGTAAGTATCCACATTATATGAATACTGAATGCAAAGTATATCAAGTATTTTCAATTTCATCGTCATTATTAATCATTTAGAACACCAATGTAGCACTCAGTTGTACATAAATTACATCAGTGAAAATCGGATACATGGCCCCATGATGCACAACAACAAGGTAATACCAAGTGTTGTGAGTGATAAAGTTGTGCTCTACGTGCATCTCCCGCCATGTACCATTTCGAAAATTATAAGAGCAATAATCACTCTAACCCAATTACAATAGTAAGCTTCTGCTAACAATTGTGGATTGATATGTCTTTGTGGGTGGTATTGTTGATCAAATATCTATAACAATAACTGCACTGTAAATCTAAGTGTTTGGAAATGGGACACACTTTTGTTCCCACTCTAAAATCACTCAACACATAAAGGTATAGATGCAGGTTCTAGGACACTTGGAGTGATTTTTTTTTATTTTTCTTACCAAGACAGTCTTGGCTAGATAGTGTTAACATTTCAGAGCATTGCCAATGCTGGAACATACATTTTTATTTTAAAATATAGGGAACCGAGGCATGCGTATGTGATTAAAAGTCTTGGAAGTTTGTTTACGTTTCTCTTTGATTGACAATTCACTGTTGATGTTATATACAAATGATAGCTGGCCTCAGTTACGGTGCGGCGATGTGTAACTTCGTGTCCTCGACCCTGTTTACCCGCCTGAACTAGTATCGCAAACTACAAACAAAACAAGAGACAAGAAGTAGACGCCTCTAGCATGCAAACGGAATCAAAAAATCACCCTTATCTCGCAACATGTCGACAACTTCTAGCCAGTGGTATACTGGTAAATATTTTTGTTTTATTTATTTTCACGCATTTTAAAACTGAAGTATACATTTTTCGTTTCGCTGTAATGATCACCGCGCTAATAGCATTGCGGATACACACCAGGGCTGTGCTGTCATCGATAACTAACTTTTCAGTTGCAAAATACACAAACGTAAAATGCTCTGCTAATTAAAAATTAAAAGAATACCCTGGAAATTACAGAGAAATGGGCAAAGAGGTGCTGTTTTTAAACACCGCGGAAAAATCACGCACTCTGTGATGCCATCTTGATACCTTAATCGTAGACCCCCTTGTCAGCTAGCATGCATCTGTAGCGATGTCGCAAAGTACGTTGTACAAAGGCACTCTATGAATGAGGTATTGCCAGAGGTCAGAGTTCGTTTCATTTTTATCGACCCGTCACGTCTGTAGTTGAATGAAACCTGTCACAATTTACAAACTATTTCGATTTTTTCTCACCAGTGTTTCAGCGATTGAGTAGCACAAACAGCGAATAGGCGCTGTGTAGCAAAATATTACGGCCCATTTGAACCTGTTCGTCTAACTTCGCATGGTCCATTTATTATTTTTTTTTTATAGATTTGAGGAAAGGTAAATGTAGACTCAACCCACTGAATGGTGATCGCTATGTTTATATATCTGTATGAATATCTCATCGGCTTCACATCGTGCTTGACAACTTTGTAACATGAAAACAAAACATACTATATACACGCTTGGACGCCTATTTGTTAATAAACAACTGATAAACGTTGTGTGGAAGTTTCACGTGCAATAAACAACAATTGTGAAAGCTATTTAGATTTGAATTACCCTGGTAAACTGAAAAACAGAAGTGGAGATAATGGCTAATTTGCATAACCATTCACTCAGTAGGAAGTTATATAATGCTCATAATTAAAATGGCTGTAACAATTCCAAATTTAAACCTATTATCGTTTTGTGAAAAGTTAAATATAGTGCATAATATGGAGACCCCGTTTATGTACAGCCTTGCTAAATCTTGCTAAGAATTCAAAAGAGAGAATGTTTGTACCTATTTTCAAAATTTTTAAATCGTCTTTTGAGTATATTCCACTATTCACAATGCAGCGAAATTTTAATAGTCCATAGCCAAGATTGTTTGAATAATAAAAAGCAAAAACAAAATGTCACTCCCAAGTGTTCACGAATCTCATCTATACCTTAATTGTGTTTCTTAAAATCGCAAATGAGGTATTTTAAAACACTACTGTTTTAGGAGAAAAAAACAATTTTACTCTTTTGTGGTAAACATTTAAGGTGTTTATCAGCAATTCCCACGTTAACAGAACTTATTATCTGCATAATTACGAAAAGTGTATATGATGAAAAAACTTGAAGTCGGTGTTTTAATTTTCGGGATAGTTTCGCAATAGTTTCGAAAGTACTAATTATCGCAACACAAATGAAAAGTGTTTATGATCACGTACAAAGATGTCCCAACAGAGATCATGTTTTAATGAAGTGTTTGCAATCATAACTCTTTGGAAAGAGATTTCATTAGGCACACATATTTGAAGGTGCTTTCGTTAGGCATATGCATTGAAAAAAGTATCATCACAACACTTTGAAAAGTGCTTTCACGCAAAGCATAATCTGAATATTGTCAAGTGTTCGTAACAGATAAACATTTTAAAATGTGTTTCCTCTGATAACATAGTTAAAAAATCATTATCATCATTTTGAAAACTATTAATGAGCAAAGTATATCAAATGATGCGCTTTGTGATCAAGCACTTCGCACTGTTATACAGAACATTAAAACACATACATATATAGTTGTTTTAAAAGTAATATCAATTGACGTGTTTTGAAAGTGTTTTCGACTTATGTGCAGCTGAATAAGTATGTTTACAATTCAACTCAAACACAAATTCAAACCTTTCGTGAAGAAATTAAACTGTAGATACCATACCAAATAATTGTGAACATCGACACTTCGAAACAGATGAGTAATGATTTGAAACGAACAATACAAATAGTAACCCCTTTCGTC